GGGGTCGAGCCTCCACACCGAGATTTTTCTGTTCCTATTTTAGCGCCAGGACTGTATTCTAAGTTAGATTCTCTCAGCCCAGTTCGTTCCTGAGTCAGCAGAGCATATCTCTACTGGTTCGTATCTCCTTAGTCCGCATCATTCCTGGCCTCTGAGCCGAGCCTTTAGAGAGCCTTCAGTAGCTGCTGCTGTCTGTCCGCCATGTTCTCAGGAAGTCCCTACATAGTCTATTTTGAAACAAAGATATAACACTATACAATGTTGTCTTGGTACTTTTTCTTATTGCTGAGACAAAATACCTGATGCCCAGAATCAGAGAAGGAAATGTTTATTTAGCTTACAGTTTTTGGAGGTTTCAGTCCATATTCAGCTGGCTCCAAGGCAGGGTGACATGGCACAGGGACAGCCATTTATGGCAGCAGCAGATACCAAAGGTGGCAAGAGCAAAAAGGCAAAAGGAAAAAGCACACCTCCTTACCTCCCTTACATTGTATGCTGGCTGCTCACTGCCAATACCAGTGCTAGACAATGAACCAATCACAAATGCTAGAGTCAGCCGCCTTTGCAAGTCCCACCTTCCTGTGACCTCATGAGGCTTTGAGGGGATATTCAGACACAAGCCATAACAGATAAGTTCTTTCTGTATTAAAATTTGTTAATGTCCTTTGTGCCAAAATAATTATTTTCTGTAAACAAAACTGGAAAGAGGATTCCTTTTTTATATTCACATACCTAAACCAATCATTTATCCTCAGTAAAGAAAATAGGCTTCCTTTTTGAGAAATTCTCAAATGTTTTTTCATATAAATCTTTTTGAGGTTATTACTTTCTTTTAACCTGATTTATCCAACTTCTAAAAAAATGTTTCTAGTATACTTGTGTGTTGTGATTTTGTGAAATTAAAAAAAAAAAGTTTTGCCAAAGCAATTATTCATATATTTAAATTATTGGCCAGTTAATTTAAGGTGGTAAAGAGATTAAAGAATACATGCTATTTAATACATTTTGCATGAATTATTGAATAATGTTAATTTTTCAGTTGGTAACTTCAAATTTCTCATAGAAATGAAAAAGTAAATCTTTAATTTTATTTCATCATATGTTTTTTTCTTTTTTAAAAAATTTATCAGCTACCATTAAAGGAAAATAAAAGGAGATGAATGCCATAGGCTACATTTAGTTATTTGGTTTTTAACCTTACCTTTAAGTGATGTGATTTTCTTAGGAAAATATTTTTGTTTTATTTTTATTGATGTATCTTTTATATTACAAAAAATTACACTTTCTTATTACACAATTCTGCCTGTTTTGACAAATGTATGTACTTGTGCATACACCATCACACTCAATATATAGGGCACATCTATTATGTTTAAAAAACTTCTTCAATGCTTATTTTTAGTCAGTACTTTTACAGTGTGTGAGTCCTTGAAACGACTGGCATGTTTTCTTTCTCTATAATTTTGTCTATGGAAAAATACTATTTAATGGCAGTTACATTAAACTACATTATACTGTTTTTGAGCTTGTCTTCTGTTTACTTAGGATTCTAAAGAGATTCATCCTAGGTGTGTGCAGTCTAGTTTATTCTTCTTTATTCCTAGGGAGAATTCTACGGTATGAATGTATTACGAGTTTTAGTCAGTTCCCCAGTTGGGGAACTGTTTATAGTTAAAGCTGTTTATAGATTTTTGGTGAATGCTAATAAAATAGCTATGAAGATCTGTATTCATGTTAGTGCATGTACTCAGTTTTTATGTCATTGAATACATAAATCATTGTGAGCGAGACTGGTGGGTCATATGATGTGTTTAGCTTTATCAGAAACTACCAAACTCTTTTCCCAACTGCAGAACCACTTTGCATTCCTAGCAGTGTCAGTTGTTGGCTGCTTTCTATTCTTGCCAGCCTTTTTTTGTTGTTGTTATTACCGGGATCAAACTCAAGACCTAGCACTTGCCAGTCAGGCGCTTACACTGCGGAGCTAAATCCCTGGCCCCAAAAAAGTTAACCAGCCTTTTTTTTTAAACAGCTTCCCAGTAGGTGCATAGTTGTTATCTCTGCATGTAATTTATATTTCCCTAATGACTAATGGTTTTGAAAATCTGTCCCTGTACTTTCCATCCATCTTTGGTAAAAATACATGTTTTAACCTTCAATTTATAATTAAAAATAAAAATTATATATTCTTACCGATATAACATGCTTTGAAATATATATTGTAGTATAACTAAATCAAGCTAATTAACATACTACTATATCACGTACTTAGTTTTTCTTTGGAGTGAACACTTAAAATCTGTCAGCCATTTTCAAACATGGAATACATTGTTATTTTATCTTATGAGCAACATCTTCCCAACTTCTGTGCCCCAAACTCTCTTAACCATCATTTACTCTGTTTTTATGAGTCCCCTTTTTCTAGATTTCTATATACTGCATAAGTGAGAGAATACATAGTTGTCTTTTTGTGCCTGGTTTATTTCATTGAATGTAATGTCTTCCAAGTTCATTCACGTGTTTAAAATGACCGGATGTTCATATTTTTAGGACTCAAATATATTCCATTGTGTGTGTATTTAACATTTCCTTATGCAATCATCTATTAATGGACTCATAAACTATTGCTATAGGCTTGATTATTGTGACCCATGCTGCAATGTACATGAAAGTGCAGATATCTCCTTGACATGCTGATTTCATTTTCTTTGGGTATATACCTAGCAGTAGGATCACCGGATCATAGATTGTTCTACCTTTAATTTTTTAGGGTACTTCTTCTATACTGGTTTCCATAATGGCAGTAGTAGTTTACATTCCTCCCACAGTGTGAAGTTACCCATTTTCTCTACTTCCTCCACAGCACTGGTGTCTTTCGTCTTTTTAGTGATCACCAACTTGACCGCTGAAGAGGGTTTTGATTTATCTTTTCCTGATGATTAGTAATGTAGAGCACCATTTCACACCTGTTGGGCATTTTTATGTCTTCTTTTGGGAAGTGTTTATTCCTTTGATCATGTTTTAACTGGGTTGTTTTCTTGCTATCAGATATATGTTTTACGAATATTGTCTCACATGCCACTGTTTTTTTAATGCATGATATCTAGTTATTTCAGCACTCTTTTATATTTGAAAGACTATGTTTTCTCTATTGAATATCCTTTTTACCTTTTTCCAGAACCAATTCATTGTATATACATAGGTCTACTACTGGATCATTTTTTCTTTTCTTTTGTCACTGTTCTGTTCTTTCTCCAATACCACTGTCTTAATTTCTGCAGTTTTAAAATACGTATCAAGTACTGTATGTGAGTCCAGTGATTTTTAGAAGATTGTATTTTCCGCTATTGTTGTGTAGAATTTTCTTTCAGCATTATTTAATCTAGTTGATAAAGCCATTCATGCCTTCTATACCCCTGTGAGAGTTTTCTACTTGCTGTCAATTCTGAAGGAGTGCTTTCAAGTGTATTTATGGATTTTCCTATTTCTCCTCTCAATTCTATTAGCATTGCTTTATTTATTTTGAATTCTTGTTATTAGATACACATCCTTTTATATTCCTTAAGCTATTTTAGAGATTGATCCCATTGAAATTAAGTAACGCTTGTCTATCAGTTTTCTGCAGTCTATTTTATTTGACATTTTAATATAGTCAGTTATGCTTTCTTTTAAGGTTTGCAGAGTATTTTTATCAAGGATATTTTTAGGCCATTTATGTGATTTTGTGATACAATATTTTTTTGCTTTGATTGCAATACTGAAGACTGAACCCAAGCTAGTCCTCCACTACCCAGTCACACTTTCGGTCCACTCCTTTTATTTTATAGACAGGATCTGTCATGGCTTTCAAGAAACAGAGAATAAAGACTCCATTTTCCAACACCAAACCAGCTCTAGTGCCCGCATCATCCAAGTAGCTTGCATAATCACTGATCTCTGAGTGCTTGGGTATGGAAGTGGCATCCAGATATAAACCATAACACAATTATCTTTTAAAGTCATTTAAATTTAAAAATGTTATATTTACCTTCACTTATTTCTTTTCTATAGTCCTTTATATCTTTGTGTCTATGTCATCTAACAAAAGTTTTTAAATGTTTAAAATTTGTCTTAGCAATTAGCAATGTAACACACCACATCTGACTTCTTTTGCCTTTGTTAAAAATTTAATGTGCTTAGAAAACTAGAAATACGTTTGATTTTTATAATTCTTTGTATTCACTTAGAATTTAGTAAACATAGGACTTAGTATATTGTAAGAAGTCTTTTGGCTTGATCCACAGAGTCTGACAGTTTTACTTCAAACAAATCTTACTTTTAGATGTTTCCAGAAGTTCTCTTTCTCAAGTTGAATCTTAAAGCGAGTTGGTAATGTAATTGTCTGGGTTTCTCTTTTTCTCTTTTTCTTTTGCTTCATGTGTCAAGTGGGAGCATTTGGACAACACTATTCTGTTTCTAATGCTCCCTTTGTAGTAACCTTACGTGCCTAGGAAGATATTTAGTGCCTTTGTGCCATTCTCCTTTACAGGTTAGAAAAATAAAGGAGTAGAGGAGGGAGAAAAAGAAGTGCAGACTGTTCTGAACACCCTGAAATTAAACCCTCTCCCTAATATCATGGCTTATTTCACTCCAGACCTGTACCTTTGGGAAACTCAGGGGTTCTGAATTTGAATGAGTGTCCTCCAAAAAACTGTGTTTACCCAATCACTTGATTTGCTTGAATGCTCACTGAATGCAGCAATCCAAGGCACCACATATCACCTAATCAGGGATAGAGCTGGAAGAAAAAAGCAGGCTACAAAACCTACAATTTTCTGAGCAAACTCTATTAAATTGTGAGAAAAAAAAGCACACTTGACATGTAGTGCCTGTCCTGGTATAGAATTTCTAAAACACTTGCCAGTTTGGAGAGTAACTGTGAGAGACACTTATTGTCAAGTATTCCCCCTTTGATTCATGTCAAAGCATAATGTTTTCTTTCTGTCTTTTTCCCCCTCAAGGGGTGCTACATCCATTGTGTACAGATGCAAACAGAAGGGGACCCAGAAGCCTTATGCTCTCAAAGTGTTAAAGAAAACAGTAAGTTTATTTCCTTATATAATAACATCTCTGAGGAACGGGCTTGAAGGACAAAGGGGCCAGAGAGCTGCTATGCGCAGCTGGCTCGTTTGAATTCTGACTGTGAGAGGACAACACAAATAGGTCATTGTCTGATGGAAACTGTGTGACTTTGAAAGCCATAAGATCTTAAATTGGATGTGGTTTGTGGGGAGAGGCTTGGAAAGAAAAACAGAGCTGGCAAGTGACCGTGCTTTCTATGTCAACCATGTTCTTATGATATCTAGATATTGCAATCATTTTATATATATATATATATAGATAGATAGATAGATAATCACATTTTAATGTACAGCCTTGCTATTTAAAAGAAGCTGAAATGCACGCGGATACCTGTATTTGTCAGCATGTCGAGTTTTCAGGGTTTGGGTTGGCTTCAATAACTTACAACTGGACAATGCTGTTATTTCTGGGACAGAACCTCCTCATCTAGAAGTTTGTTTTCGAACAGGAAAGATTTTGTTTTGGAGTTGATTATTTTGCCTTAAACTTCCAGGTGAGCTGGAAGACATAGATGTGTTAGACTCATCTGCATGGAGTTAGAAATACAGCAAATATGAATTCAAAATGTGAATTCCAGCACCTGTGTACCACTGTCTGCCCCCAGAGAGTGATTTGCTATTTTAATGCCTTACTGGTATTTTCAGTCTTTACGTAGTTTTTGCTCATAAAACCACAAAAAAAGATGACTACTTTTTCATACCACATTCATCCTTTTTCAATTTTTATGTGAACAAATTTGTGAGATATTCTGAAGGCTCAGTTGTAAAGCATGTTGAAAAGACAAATATGATACATTATGAAGTCAAATGATACCTTCTTTTTTTAGGCCAAGAAAGTTGTTTGCCTGACGGTAGTTTAATATCACCAGCTGTTTATATATTGTCTAGCACAGAGAAATTTTAGAACTTCATATAATGAAGACCATAATGGCACAGGCTTTTCAGTCAAGTAGAAATAGAATGACATTTTGAAACAATCTGTTGGAATTTAAAGCCATGGCAAAATAGCAAAGACAGTTTCATTGAAAGAGGTAATAATTTAAGTGGCAGTTGCTAGTAATAAGCTCTATAATCTGAAATTTCTGTTTGGCGTAGGCAGTTGTTTAATTTATTCCAAAATGTAGATGAATACAGTATTTTCATTGATAAAATTAGCATTTTCCCTTACGTCAATTTCTTTTTTTTTTCAGAAATCTTTTAATTATATTTTCACGCACTAAACATGAAACAAAATATGCAAATGGCTTTTGTAATCTAAAAGATTATTGAAAATTTATTGACTATAATTTCTTATAGTTATTTTTCATGAAAACAAATTGACATGCTTAAGCAGTAGTCTCACTCAAGATATTTTTGGACTTGGTTGTATCTTTTCTTGTTGATTAAAACATTGTTAAGGTGGGTGGGGTGACACACTCCTATAGTCCCAGCACTCAGGAGGTGAGGCAACAGGATCACTGTGAGTTCGAGGCCAACCTGGGCTCCAAAGTGAATTCAAAGGGAGCTTGAACTGCATAGTGAAACCCTATCTCAAAAAGGAAAAAAAAAAAAAAAAACTGATGAAATTTGTATATTTTTTTCTTTTTCATAATAGTAAACATTGGAAGGGAATGGATATATAACAGTCTAGGGAAAGAATGTGCAGAAATTACTTGTGAATGCTCAAAAATTCCTGAGGTCAAAAGTATTGATATACATCAAAAATGTTCAGACCGACAGGTAGATGATGGTATTTGGTGAAGTTCTTGTCTCCAGTCTTTGGAAAAGTACAGCTTTGGTTCATCCCACTATCTTTCCTTCTCGTCCTCTGCTGGAAATCATCTCCCTCAAAAGATACGCAGGAAGAGAATGTGGATGGGAAGCAAGTGTCAGATGGAGCTGTGAGGCAGATGTTGTCAAACACAGTTACTGCTGTGCCAAACGGAATGCGAGAATCCCCTGGAGGAACCTCAACTTGGAATGTGAATTAGATGGAATCCCCAGTGTTGTCTTCAAGTATTAAACTGTACACAGATATGTGTAAATAAGGCAAAATTTCCAAGAGTATTCCCTCCAGGGTTTAATTTTGGGTAGGTTGTGGAGGCTGAAACTTCCTTATCTAAATGCAGTGAGGGCTGTTGAGAATCTATTTGTAGAGGTAAGGTGATGCAGGGGAAGTATTAGTTCCCCAAAGGGTTTGCTTCTGAAGATAAAAGGGGATTTCAGGAAGTTTGAATTATTTATGGAACCTATCGAGTTGAGCCACATAAAACTGCCTTTATTAAATTAGTTTTGAACTAACAAATTGGAATTTTATGTGTTTAAGTTAACAACCATCGTTTGATCAGTTTTTTGCTTTTGTGGTTAAAGAATGAGAAAATTTACAGGAGGAAAGGTTTGTTTTGGCTCGTGGTTTCAGAGGTTGCAGCTTATGGTTATCCGGCTCTGTTGCTTTGAGGTGTGTGATGAGGCAGAAACAGAGCAGCAGGGAATATGAGAGGAAAGCTGCTTACCTGCTAGCAGAAAGTGGGAAAGAGCCACAGAAGAAGGGGCTGGGAATCAGGTAGAGTCCTCATGTCAGGCCTCTGTGAGGCACTCCCTCCAACCAAACCCAACCTTTATTTCCATCCTCTCCTCATAATGGCATCAAATTATGACCTCATTAACGACATTAGAGCTCTCATAATCTAATCACCGTCAAGAAGCTCAGCCTGTGAATATATGAGCTTTTGAGGGGATATTATAGGTCTAAAACATAACAAACTGTGAGACTACTATACTGCTTTGGGTCCTCATTTTATAAGTAGATTTAAGCCTTAAAGGCCCGAATCTTAAATTTAGCTGACCTACCTCTATGTTTGTATGCTTGTGTACATGCATGTGTATATGTACAGATATATGTATCTATGTTCATTTCTTAGGGTAACGTAGTAAACTACTATCAACTGATGGCTTAAAACAATATCAATTTACTCTGTCATTTCTGGAAGCTAGAAGTCTTGAAGCAAAGTGATGGCAGGGAGGGTCCCTAGGGAAGATCTGCTGCATGTTCCATGACTCTCACCTTGCTTCTTGTAAGTTTACAATTCTTGGTGTTCTTTGACTTGTAGATCATCACTCTAACCTCTCCCTCCATTGTCACATGGCCATTTTCATCTGTGTGTCTTTATGACATCTTCCATTTGTGGATGTCTATACCCAAATCTTTCACTTTTTTAAAAGAATACAAGTACTATTGGCTTAGGGCCGCACTCTACTCCAGCATGACCTAATACTAACTTAACATCTGTAATAATGCAATTTTGAAATAAAGTCACACTTTGAGATACTGAGATTAAGGTGGTGTATCTTTTTGAATACAAAAAATTCTACCCATAATACTATATATCCAAGAAATTTACTAAACACAAACAAAATCACCCAGTGTATAGCTGCTTATTGGTATATAAACATCTTTAAATCCAAGAGAGGTTTCTAATTCCTACCTCTTTGATAGCATTGTCTTTCTCAGGATCAGTTTAAACTTTTTAAATGGGAATTTGCCCAAATTTCTGTTTGTGGAATTTTAAGTTCCTTTATTTTAGCTTGATTTTTAAGGAAGGAATTAACACTTGCAGCAGAAGACTTATTTTTCCATAAAGAAAAACTTTGTTCATCATTGAGAATTCCTTAGACATTCAAATGCCTGTGTGATAGATAAATGAGCAGATTTATCCTCGATAATAACTTTAGGAAAGACTAAAGCACCAGTTCTTAGGGAGAAATCTATGTGCCACTGGTAGTTAGGTACAGGAGGAAGGTTCTAATAGTAAATGTAAAATAAATTGTTACATTTAAGCAACTAGATATTTTGCCTAACAGAATATCCTTATGGAAAATTAATTATGGTAAGAGAAATATTTTTATATTCACATATCTTCTATGTGTGGATATAACACCATGTAGTTTATATAATGGCAACTACATTTCAGAGAATTAGAGTCAAAGAATATATTAAAATACATATAAACTAAAGTTAGGATGTTTGCAGTTTTCTTTCAAATGATTAAACAAAAATTATTTGTTTGTATGTATGTGCATGTACGGGACAGAGAGGAAGCCTATATAGTAAATATCATTACTTTTTGGTTTTAGAGCATTATAGCACTGTCCATGATAGTATTTCAGCATTTCAGTGTATATGAATTTTCTTGCAATGAAAAGTTTGGAGAAAAATATAGTTTAACACTGAGATCCTGCTCAACATAATTAGAAAAGTTTTGCCATTGAGAAAACATTTTAAGATCTCACAGCCTCTTAATATTATCATAAACATGAGTAACTTTATTATAAATGTGTTAAAGTAACAGAAAATAGAAATGATAGTTGAACTAACATTTCTGCATCAAAAAAAAAAAAAAAAACCAAGAACTTGGGCATTGTTCGGCTAATTTTATCATTGATAAGATAAAGCTTTGACAGTGTGAGTAAACAGGATGGCTTCAGTGAGTTCTAAAAAATTTTGATTGTTATTTGTTTGATATCTTTTCCCATTCAGTATTAGAGAATCATGGTGAAGAAGTTATCAAATCAATGTGTGACACTCATCCTTTCCTTCTGCCTCGATGTACCCTATATTTTAACATTTATTGTGAAACAGATACAGATTCTCAAAAAGTGCCATTTTGTGGCTCATAAATACTTTATTATCTCTGCACAACAGAATTAATGGCTTGCAGTTACTGGTGGAATTTTCATTAGGAGATTTATAAATCATGATTAAGGGTGGAAGAAGGCTAAATTTTTCTTCATGCATAAATTCTTCATTCTATTTTATGGGCTATTCAGAAGATATTGAAGTGCAGCACAAAGATTTCACTGTGCTATTTCCTCAGGTTAGACTCTTGGGGCATTAAAGAATTTGACAGACATAAATGTTGGGACAACCAGTGATTTATAAGGTGGAACCCTTTAACAATTGTATCATACTTTTCAATATGTCAAACTTCAAAATGCATATAAGTGAAAAAATAGATTTAAGGAATTGTTAACATTTGAGCTAGGGATGGTAATATATATTTGTACTCCTAGCTGAAGGATTGCAACTTTGTGGCCAGCCTGGCAACATGATGAAATCCTGTCGAAAGAATGAGAGAGAGAGAGAGAGAGAGAGAGAGAGAGAGAGAGAGAGAGAGAGAGAGAGAGAAGGGGATATGGGAGAGAGGGAGCAAGGGAGGGAGAGAGATAGATTCAGGGAAAGAGAGAAAAGAAGGAGTAGAAGAAGAGACACAATCAGACAGACAGACAGACAGAGGTCAAAATTACAGATGGAACCTAAATTTGGACTGACTTTTTTTGTACCTGGGATCAAACTCCTGACTTGGCACTTGCCAGGCAGACGCTGTGCTGCTGAGCTCTCTCCCCCAGCCTTAGGGCTGAGTTTTCTAGATTAAGTAGGGTCAACACTTTTGAGGGATAGTATGATGATAAAAGAAGTGACTCACATGAATTATATTCAGCCTTTCTTATGAGTGCAAACCTCAGGATATATCTAATATCTAAACGATCACACTTCAGCTTACAGATCTGACTTGTTTTCAAAAAGACCTTATTGGAATTTAAGAAAGTTATGTTTCCTAATACTTTATAGTTTTTCTGGCATTTTACAGATGGACAGTTAAACTCCAGAGTATAGGTGAAACTTTTAGCTATGTGGCTCAACTTTTGGAAAAGAATGTTTTCAAGTATCTGTAAAATCAGTGCCTTCTATAAAATACCTAGTATTTGGTCTGAGAGCCAGTGTTGGTGTATAAATTCAGAATTTATAAGTATTCTGATATAACCTGATGAGATCATGAACTGTAGAGCCAAATTAAATTTAGGCTTATTTCTGCCACTGGCTGCCTGTGTGAATATACAAATTATAAACCACTTCTAAACCTTTCATTTGTAAAGTGGGTTTAAAAACATCTACCCAGTATCTTATTGCATATTAAAATTATTTACTGGATTTTAAATATTTCCCACCACACAGAAGCATGCAATAAATGACTAACATTATTCTGATGATTGGCATGAACCCACAGGGATATTTTATGATAATGTGAGTTCTTTCTAGATTTCTGATTTTGTGCCCTCCTCCTTAGGCAAGTCTTGAATGTTTGTGATGGAATTAAATGGAATTAAAGCACTTTCTTCCTGTGCCTCTCTTCTGATTCTTAACATTGGAGCAGAATGCCTAGTTCCACAGCACAAAAACAGTTTTCAGATTTTTGTTGTATTTTTCTCAAGATACCCAAAAGTTTCTGAAAAAAGATTTTTCTTGAGTAATTTAGTGAACATTCACCAGGTAAATACCTTCAAAATTTTATACAGTTTCTGTGTTTGGCCTTTAATCTTTTTCTCAGTGGAAGAATAAAACACTGTGACTAGCTAGTCATTCTCTGAGGTTATTATTGACATCCATTCACTTTTTTACGTTCTTGTAAGTTAAAATGTGAGTATATAACTGTGACATTGCAGAGCAGTTTGAAAGGTTGGTCTTTAAAGACTTGTACATAGGCTTCTTTTGTACTTTGTACTTACTAGATAAAACTTTAGGACATCGGTAGTAGAGGAGGATGCCAGGATCCTGAGTTCTAAAATAGAGGCGATACAGTTTATATCACTTACTAAATTGAGGGTTACTTGAGTCAGTATATGTATAAGTGTGTGTGTAGAAGTATATAGGTATGTCATTGTATTGCCTGGCATGTATTAGACATTTACTAACTGTGTAGTTTCTTCTCCAGATTGAGTTTTTTCTTTGTGACCTTTATTTCTGACCTAGACTTGCCTCCTTAAAAACACCTACAATTTAAAAGAGGAATACTTCATTTTGTCTCACAGTTCAGAAATGCTATCCATGTTCTTTTCAGCAGACTTAAATATGAAAGCAACATAGTGGAAAGGGATTGGAGAAAGAAAGCTGCTCACATCATGGTGGCTAGAAAGGAGAGAGAACCAAGGAACCAGGAGAGAAATTCAGTTCCCTGTGACCAGCCTCTTCCTACCAGACTTCAGTTCCTAACCATGAGTCAGCTACATTTCCCCAGTGATTCAATCATAGTCCCAAAGCTCTGCCTACGAGTACCTGTGGCCTTTGGGAGTCATTCTCCATCCAAACCATGACTTCCTAGGTCAACTTTCTTAGATAATTCATTTAGGAAGAATGTTCCACATTTTGATAAAGAACTATCTTTGAGTTCAGCTATCTTGTATATAATTTATTAAGTGATTGTTATGGTTCATGTCTAATGTTCCCTTATAGGGTTTTTTCAGAGGGGGCTAAATGTGATTTATTTGCTGTGTGATGCAGAGATTAAAGGATGCTGGGATTATAAGTGGGTGACTGCTAGATCAGTCCACTGATTGGATTGGCACCACCCTAGTCCCAGTAGCGACAGAAAGAGGATTGTCTTGTGCTCTCTTGTTGCTTTTGCTGTCTTCTGCTGCCATGAACTGTTGCCCCTCTGCCATGTGCCACTCTTGACTTGAGTCAGCCAGTTATGGACTAAAACTTCTACAAACTGTGAACTAAATGCACCTTTACTCCTATAATTTTGGGTGTCAAGTATTTTGTCTCAGCAACAAGAAAAGTAACTAAGACAGTGATAGACATTGATCACTTGATAGATATCCACTGCTGTATCCATTCATCTTTACACAGATGCATTAATATCTCTTCACAAGGAAACTTTCAACTTTAAAAATTATTTTTAATTTCTTCCTTTCCTATTTTTATTCCTTTTCTTTCTCTTG